TCTAAATTAATATTTTTCAATATTGAAAACAATGAATTTCACAAAATACAAAAAAAACTAATTTCCATTAAAAAACGTTTTAAAATTTATTTATTGTTACTTTTTTAAATTATTTTTCTGTACTTTTCAAACTTTTTAAGTAAATTTTTGTTATTGTAAATATGCGAGCGTCATCTGTTAGATGCAAAACAACACATTTGGGACAGATTAGTTCGATTTGATGCAATCAGGGAGCGCGTCAGTGTTTTCGGTAACAAAATTTATATGGGAATTCCTATAATAGACCACCGCTATGTGAATCACTTTTCTTGTTTTAATAGAAGTGATTGTTCATTGTAACAATAACTTCTATTGTTTTAGTCCATTTAGCTGGCCAACGTACTGTCAGCTCAACTGACCAGTTAGTTCAATATATTGTCTGATAAACACCAACAAACACGCGTATTCTTATCTAACCGCAGCAATAAACGGATGATAATTTAAATCATATTGTCAGTGTCGTTGAGCTTGTTGAACTTATGTTTGGATTGTATCATTGTTTATGGCAGTGAAGTGCTTTATTTGTGTTATTTGAGTTTTGAATTCGCATTCAGACAGTTCAGTTAATCGGTTCAATTTAAAGCTGACCGCGCGTATATGAATCGCATACAAAGTTTACACAGTATATAATTTAAGTGGTTACGCCGTAATTGCAAGTAATTTTCAAAATTATTTATTACTTCACTTGTGGCCTTGCCAATGATAGCAAATTAAATCAGATACAATTTAGTCTGCCAATTAGATTGAATTCATCAAGTAAATTGGATTATTTTGTAATCGGACTAGCGAAGAAATGGCACCACCAGTAACACGACATTTTTTCAAACCAATTCAATGATTTTTTGTACTTTTCATATATTTAAAATTAAATGTTTTCAGACAATGCGACCGATTGCGTTTTTGTGGATTTTAGCTATTTTCACAATAGAATCTATCGATGCCGACCAAAGTGTAAGCGATAATTTCATTGTTTGGATGGACTCATTCGAGAGATATGGCACTAAACTCTTAAATTACAAAGTATTTCATCTAACAGCAGGATAGATCGTTTCGAGTGGACTATAAGACTGACCAATTTCTCAAAGATGGTAAACCATTTCGATATGTTGCCGGTGAATTTCACTATTTTCGAGCACTTCCGCAAACTTGGAGAGAAAAGTTACGTACACTGCGAGCTGCCGGTTTAAATGCAGTTACCACTTATGTTGAATGGTCGCTACATAATCCGACTGATGGTAATTATGTGTGGGATGGAATAGCCGACGTTGAAGAGTTTATTCGATTGGCTGCTGAAGAAGATTTGTTTGTAATTTTTCGACCGGGACCATACATTTGTGCTGAACGAGATATGGTTTAAAATCTGTTCCATATTTTTTTGCTTAAAACTTATTCGCAACGCTCATGGTTTATGATTTGAAAGTAAATTATATACATTTTTTCTGTGTGTTTTTAGGGAGGATTTCCGTTTTGGCTTTTATCAAAATATCCGAATATTAAACTTCGCACCAGTGATCCAAGTATGTATGGATAATATTTTTGCACAAATCACAACAAAATAAAAATGTTTGATTATCTAACGATCTATTTTTGTAGATTACTTAAAAGAGGTTGGCATTTGGTATGAAAAACTAATGCCACGTATGCAGAAATTTTTGTATGGAAATGGTGGTCCGATTATATTGGTTCAAATTGAAAACGAATACGGTGCATTTGGATGCGACAATCCATATTCGTTGTGGTTGAGAGATGAGACGAATAAATATGTTGGCGATAAGGCTGTTCTATTCACCAATGACATTGTCCGAGAAAAAGATCTACAGTGTGGTAAAATTGAAAACGTTCTTGCTACATTGGACTTTGGAATTGGTAAGCCTATGTAAACATTTTTTTATTTATTTGTGAATGAAAAAAATGGTTAAAATCTATGGACAGGTAATAAACCGACCATTGAATCGCATTGGACACTATTGAGAAAGCACCAACCTAACGGGCCACTTGTGAACTCCGAATTTTATCCCGGTTGGTTTACACACTGGCAAGAACCGCCCGCCAAAGTTGATCCGGGACCAGTCGCTGAAAGTTTGAGATATATTTTGGAAAAGGGGGCCAGTGTTAGTTTTTACTTGTTTTTCGGTGGAACAAACTTTGGCTTTACAGCTGGTGCCAATTATGCGGGGCCGGGAAACTATAAGGCCGATATCACTAGTTATGATTATGATGCACCAATGGACGAAACTGGAGATGTGACACCGAAATATGAAATACTTCGAAATGTCATCAAAGACTTTCTACCTCTTCCAAACATTTCGATTCCGATAAAATCACCGAAAATGAAAATACCAACAATCGAAGTGCATCCAAAAACCACACTACTTTCATCGATTTCAAGGCAATTTTTGGGCCGTGCAGTGATAACATCCGAAAAACCACTTACATTCGAAGAAATCAATCAATTTTCAGGCTTTGTTCTTTACGAAACGGAATTGCCGAAGCTGAAATTGGACCCCAGCGTTTTGACTATTCCAACGTTACACGATCGTGCAATTGTTACCATAGATGGCGTAAGTCTTTATTATCCATTTGTGAGTGCTTGATACATCAGGAATACATTTTAATATGAATTAAAAATAATTTTAGAAATTCGTGGGTGTGCTTTCGCGTGAAAATTTGGCCAATTCATTGCCGATTAGTGCTGGCTTCGGCAAAGTGCTGCAAATTTTGGTTGAAAATCAGGGTCGCATTAATTTCGATATTGCGAACGACTTTAAAGGTATCATTGGTGATGTGCTATTGAATGATGTCACACTGAAAAATTGGAATATTACCGGTTTCCCCTTTGAGAATTCGACACAAATCGATGAATTAATTGCAGCCGTTGATCAAGACTCTGAAATGAATACGATCAAAGTTCGAACATGCGAGCATTTGCGATCGCTTCCAATGATTTTCCACGGCACATTCGACGTAGATGATATCGCTGACATGTTTGTTAATCCAATCAAATGGGGCAAGGTTGTATACTTTGTTGCGTTTTTAATCTTTAAACCACATTTCATTTTAGTGGAAAACTTTTAACAACTTCAAATCTTTTTCTCTCTCTATCTTTTCTCATTTCATTGTGATGCGGTTGACACGCAGGGATTTATTTTCGTGAATGGTTTCAATTTGGGACGATATTGGCCATTGGTTGGTCCGCAAATTACATTGTATTTACCAAAGGAAATTTTACGGAAGCAACAAAACACCATTGTTGTCGTTGAATTGCAACGGGCACCGAAAAATGGTCACGTTAAATTCAGCGATAAACCAATTAGCATCAAAGAAAATTAGCACTCGTTCGCATTGCGAACATCCGCAATTTAAAGTTTTCACTCGTAAAAAGTTTTTATTTGAATAAAAGTAAACAAAATGATTTTTGGCAATGAGTGTGTGTTTGTATATGTTTGCAGTTAGTTTGAAGTGAAATTGAAAAGTTTTGGACGCAAAAAGTAAACGACTGCCAAACGTACAGATTGAAAAGTAGAAAGGAGCCGTAGCATTTGTACAAAAGTTTGTTGAATAAACACGTCGTTATGCAAGAGAAAAAAAAACAAAGTTTTTAGACAAATATTTTCGCTTATTAGCCAGCCACTGATAAAGCTTGAATGCGATTTGGTGTGCGTGTTGCGGAGCAACAGCTCAGCGTATGCATTTCGAATGTTGTACATGCATGAAAGTGTTCAGATTCAAAATCCAAGCATGAATGCTACAATCCGAAAATGTAAAGTGTGACTTCTCGTCTATCGTAAACAAGCATTTGTTCCAAAAAATTTCCAACCAAGTGTCATTTACAGCAATAGAAATAGTTGAAATTGTATATTTGGGGCGATACTTTCAATTGACTGTCACCAAATAATTTTTAATCTTCAATTGTATCATTCAAATGTAAGCGTTAATGCATCTCTCGACGAAAATGAATCTATGAGCTTCGAGTCGAAAATGTCAGTGCGGTATACTATTGTGCATACAGTCAAATCGAATTGTTTTACGACCTTATGAAACTATTTATTATCTGTGATATTTATTAAATGCAAAACAGGAACAAATTTGACACCGACTTGACGGTGAACGGAAACATTGCGTGTGTCATATTTTCTCTTTGCTCTCGCTCGTCAGCGACGAAATATAGTTTTGCTTTATGTGTAATAACTTTCTCTGATGTCATAAATGGATTGCAATTCAAGTGTCGTATGCGACTTGGATTCCATTTTATTGCCACTAGACAATGACATAAAATGAATATGAACGCAATTATTGTGTCGGTCTTTTTTCGCTAGTTGATTTTTGTATGGCTAAAAATTGTTACACAAATACACACTATACGTATGAATAACTTAAATCCGTACTTCATATATATAAATGTGTGTGTGTTCGGTTTGAATGCCGTAAAAATGAAACTCATACAAAATGAAAATAGCGATAATAACATAAGCAATAACAATAATATGTCGTAAAACTGATAACAAACTTTCACTCATTCTCATTGCGCTTGACTTTTTCGCATGCATTTCGTTAGAATGTGTGTGCACTCTCAACGAAGAAAAACAACAACATCCGGAAATGAAACGAAAATCCCGGCTCAAATGTACATCCGAAGTGCATAGCATGGTATGGTGTACTTAAGTGTACGATGAATTTTGCAATTCATTGCGAATTTAAACTGATCTGTAATCACACCACAGACGCTATGAATCTCTGTTGCTCCACTTTTGTGTGCACGATGTTTCCTTTTATATTTCCTTCGGAGACAACATACAATCATACATATTTATGTGTCATGTGTATTTGTGTGATTTTCCTGTTTTGTTGGATGCCATGCGATGTGGATGTGTTATCAGTTTAGATTTTTTTTAAAGACTATGTTTAATGGAACGTAAAATGTTCGATAGCATATGGGGATGATGGTATAAAATGTTTGTGTAATGTTTGGAATTTTTTGATTTTTGCTGCACACCAAAAAAAAAATGGTAAGTACTGTATAATCTTAATGTGCTTGATGATGGAATTTTCAATGGTTTCCGATTACGTCCGGCTGAAAATCTGCGACAGCGTATTTTGTCGTATTAAATGGCATTGCAGTTATTTCACATGTTTATAGTTGAATGTCATACATGCGATAACTGTGATACATTGTAAAGCCAGCAGCAGCAGTAGCAGCATCAACGTATTCCAAATATTCAATTTGAATATGTAAGCATTCCCGTTTCCCCAGCCAATGACATTGCAAAATGATTTTCTTAAGAAACCACGCAAAACACGCATTCTATGTTATGCTAACAGAGAAAAAAAATAATCGAGATAATTTTCAGCGACCGCCACTAAAACATCCATATCACAGCATTTCAGTAGGACACTAAATAGTGTTTTGAGTGCGCGGGTAGATAGATATAACATATAGTGTAATCATTTTGGTGCACATTTTATGCGTGTTAATTTATTTTAACGTTACTATAATGCAATCATTCAGTTTGTTCCATTTACGGTTGTGCATGTGTGCTGGTACACGATGGCTGCACTAAATGATGGCATGGCGTGAGCGTTTCTTTTTTTTGCAGTTGCATGCAGCATTAGAAAATGTTGTGGCAAGTTCAAGAATTTAAATAAATCTAATAAATGAGTGTCAACACACATAAACATACAGCCAGTGGGTTGGACTCGATGGCGACACAACAAGCACACTGCATGTCTGTATGTATGAGTAATTCCATTACTCGATATTCTCGGGTAGAACAACGAATCTATAGGAAAAACATGTTAAGAGCTTTTGTAAACATCTTCCTGACTGTGTGCCTGGGTGGGTGTTTGGGTGTGCGTTCAGATCGAGTCAGTTGTTTGAGCATATGGTGTGCTTATGTGTGGCGTTCATGCATGTTTTGTTTAATTGCAATTATATAATCACATAAGCAGAGCGAAACTAATTTACTCGAAAATACAATAAATGTTCTGACACACACTCACATGCACTGATAAAATAAACTTATTTTAAATTATTACTGTTTCTCCGGAGCTTTTTCCTGATGCATTTCAACATCTGACGCTAATAATTAACGACACAATTCTCCGGGATTCTTTTTACGCTAGATTAGCGAAACAATGACTTCAAACTTTATGCACGAATGTTGTTCCGAAACGACAATAACATTCATTTTAAAATGGAGACAACGACATGCTCTTGTGAAAATTTATGACACAATCTTTCGACATTCGAAAAATCTTCGTTGCATATTCAACCGTAATTACCAGTACAACATAAAACTACATCAAAATACGCATTCATCAAATGTTAAGATTTAGAATGTTATTATCAACAACAACAACAACGAAATTAAACGTTTTTCATTAAACTTTTTACTCTGAAATTGGATTATGTGTTTGTCAGTGTTTTTTGTTTCTTTCAACATGAATTCATCCTATAAGGGGGTTTTCGTCATGAAAATTAAACGCAAAAAATATGTACACAGACGAACAGACACACAAAAAGAATAATTGCATTCAGTTAAATCTAGCACGAACAATTTACGCACAAACACATTTTCAATTAAATTGCTTGCGAAATGGATTTTATTTCAATGCAATTGAAAATTTTAATAGATCAAAGAAGTGTCCGTCTTTTGATGTTGTTGCGCCGCAGACAGACTATGTTCACCTGTATACTATAGATATATTCAATGTGCGCAGTGCAAAGAAAGAACGAAAGAAAGTGACAGACACTCGAAAAACATGTTTCTGTTGAAAACATCTTGTAGCTCGAGGGTGAAAATGTGTTTCACAAGAAACAAGCATACTTGGGTACATGAATGAATCAACTTTGGATGAAATAAAGAAAAGAATGCTTAAAATACTATGAACTATGTTCACTATGTACGTTGTACGCATCGCGAATAGACAAAATTTAAATGGAAATGGCCAACCAAATGAATAGAAATGCTCATTTAGTTAACGCAAAACGTATGTTTTGCAAGCACATAACCTTAACCAAAACCCAATTCTTCGTACCACTTGAGGCAATTGCTCGTCGATAGACTGGCTGAAGTTCTTTTTCATGTTTATATTTTGGCATTATTATTTGCCATTATATGTTTGTTTGTCATTTTAGTTTTCCCTTTGTGCACACAAAGCGCAACATTTTTTTCGCTCTTATTCTATCTTAATTGGCTCTTTTCCACGAAATGTTTGCTCTACGAAACATTCACATTGAGTTCGACTGAGATAAATATGTTATTGATGGGTACGACGACTTTTGAAATGTTGATGAACCGAACAATTTTGGTGTTTTTGACACACGCTTCAGCTTTTAGGAGGCTTTGGCATTGCAATTCAAACAATATAGACGCAAATATACAAACAATGCGTGTAATAATATAATTTTGTTCATCAAACGCCCACGGAATCATGTTGATTTGATACTATCCAATGGATAGAGAGGAACATATATGCGACATATTTCAACGACTTCAAAAAATAGGCGCAAAAAATGATGTTAAAAGTATCGATTGCATGTTTACGTAAACATCAGATACAATTTTTAAAAAAATACTTGTATTTTCTTGCGTTCGAAAGCATTTAAAGTCGGTCTAGAAGTCGCTGAAAATAAACGAAGAGAATAATTTACTCAAATGACTTTGTTTTTTACCTTTGGCACTTCCGTTTCGATTTGATATCAGCATAAAAAAAATCAATGAGCTCATGGAAACGAGAGCACTTTAACGGTAATGGTCGCTTTAAGCAAATTCCACTACTACTGCCTAATGTTGAAAGTTTTACATAAAATATATTTGGCGTGAGTGAAGATCGGTCTGCTCTTTTCTCAAATGAAAGCGTAAAGGCGGCGTTCTCTTTGCGAACGTCGCAAACCAAAATTTTCGATTCACTGCAGCAACCAACTTTCTCAATATCTTCAGGACAATGAATGAAAGGAAAAAACAAACTAAAGTGATCACTTTAAAGAATCACGAAGAAGAGAGGGAAAGAGAGAAAGTTTTTTTTGAATAATGAAACTTTTATCGAACGAAAAATGATAATTAAATAAAATGCACGCGTCGCTTCTAATTCTTTTCAGTTTGCACTAATGAATTTTTTAAAAGAAAGAGCGAACTTTGTTGTTTATTTATACTGAGCGAAAAAAGTTGGCAAAATCACAAATGGATACACCATCGAATGCATTATGGAATATTTCGAACACAAATAAAAAGCATAAAATTGAAGCTTAAGCTTTCTTTGTACTTTTCCGGCGATAAAAATAAGTCGTTGTTCTTTCATTTTCATTCTTGTTTTTTTTTTTTGCCAAAGCTAGAGTGGAATATCGAGCGTCGCAATAAAAATAAATGAAAATCGAAATTCATTTTCCGTTCAATCAATAGAGTGTCGCATCATCATTGACCAATATTGCACATGCCAAACCAATGAAATCTTTCTGTGGTTGGTGAATTATACACACGTTCAACACGAAATATAAACACAAATCAAATAACAAAATTATAACAAACCAACAAACAACGAAGCGATTTATTATTAGATTCATACCATCAATGCATGTATGCTGTTCGTTTCTATGTGTGCTAGGAAGATCTTGGCATAAGTTGTTGTGTGCGCTTATGTGCACATCTGTTTGTATTTCCGATGATAATTTGAAATTGGGCTCACATTATTGCGAACACATTTCTGGTTCCAAGTTCGAAGTCATCGAGAACAACAGCAAGGCAAAGCAAAGCTCAAATATCCATTTCGTTAGACAATTCAAGCTGACCCCGGCCATTTTGCGATGAACATCTTTTTCTTCTGTTCTCGGAACAATACCATTTCACCGTTTCTCCCATTTATTTAAGGAAAAAACCCATAAAATCGGTCATATTTTTCTGTTTCTCTTTTTGTATATGTATTTCATAGTGATTGTGTCGATGATGATGCTATAATTTCGCTTTCATCACTTTTTATTGCTTTTGTTTTTTCGAATAAATTCTTTTCCATTGAAATTGGTTTATTTCTCAAAAAACAACATCGTAAAATTAATTTAACTGTGTAACGAGAAAAAATGAGAACACTCATGACTATAAAACCAAGTTGGTCATGGTTTTGTAATAATGTTATCGAATTTCACATCACACTATTGTCCCGATTGACTCATAGATCAGATAAAAAATGTTCCTCGAGTGAGTGTATGCTGTATGACGACTATTTCTTTTCTCTTTTATTCAAGGAGAAAAAGGTGAAATACTTGAAAAAAATTAATGCGTGGGAATTTCAAATTTATTGTAAAATCCAATTTTTATTTTAATCTAATAAAACTGGCGATTTTGATTTGTTTTTTTTTTTTTTTTTTTTTTTTTTTTAATTTAATTAAAGGAAATAAACATGTGTTCTCCACTCAAAGTCAAATTAACGTTCAAATACCGTTTCAACGTCTTGTTACAATAGAAGAAAATAATAAAAAATAATCGAGAAAGAACTTAAACTGCTAGCATTATAATGGTAACTACGTACGATGGCTGCTCCATATATTTCTAGAATTGGCAATATTTAGTGTTGTCCGATACAAACCATTGTCATATTCGTTAAATTTAACATTTGGTAGCATAAACGATCTCAGAACGTTCTGTCATAAGCGCGCTATTTGTATTGTTTACAGTGACATCTAAATTGCGTCTCAACAAAAAAAAAATGAATTTTACTCGTGAAAATTTTCGTGCGATAATTTACTACGACTTTGGATTGGGTGTATCTCAACAACAGTGTTTTGATCAACTTCATTTGGTCTTTGGCGATGAAGCTCCATGCAAGGCCACTGTATATCACTGTTTTACTGAATTCAATCGTGGTCGTCATTCGCTCATCGACGAATTCCGTGAAGGTCGTCCAAAATCGGTTGTTGTTCCAGAAACTATCGATGCTGTCAGAAACATGATAAAGCAAGATCGTCATGTCACATACCGTGAGATTGAGGCATCCTTGGGCATTAGTATGAGAAGCATACACACGATTTTGCATGAAAATTTGGCCGTAAAAAAGATTTGCTCTCGTTGGATTCCACATAAATTGACCGATGACCAAAAATTAGCTCGTGTGAATTGGTTCAAAGAAATGCTCAACAAATATATCCGCGGTGCATCATATTCCGTCTATAACATCGTCACAGGCGACGAATCGTGGATATATGCGTATGAGCCCGAAACTAAACAGCAGTCGACAGTATGGGTCTTCTTCCAAAGTGAAGATAATCCAACGAAAGTTGTTCGCGCTCGAAGTGTTGCGAAGCAAATGGTCGCCTTTTTTTTCGCAATTAGTGGACATGTGGCAACAGTTCCACTAGAGGATCGTTGAACAGTCAATTCTGACTGGTACACCACCATTTGTTTGCCAGAAGTGTTTGGTGAATTAAGAAAAAATAACCACCGTCGCAGAATAATTCTTCATCATGATAATGCGAGCTCTCGAGTAGAGTTTAAATACAAAGAGTCACGTTGTTCACATTGTTGTAGTCAAATAGTAACTATTGTTAGGCACTGTTAAATGTAGTAGTTATTACTACAGCGGTAGGGTTTTCTACTCTCTCATAAATTCCATTGATTTACTTCGGGAACATTTTACTAAAATTATATAATATTAGGAATCTTTATAACTTACCCTGTTAAAAATGCATGTGAATGAGAGCTGTGAAAATAGCTTCGTTATATAGGGTAGTCTATTCACTGCTTTTTCCGACACTCCGCTTTGAATGCTAGATTTTCTACGCAACAAAAAATAAGAAGAAAGGTGTATCTCACCATCACATTATTTTTTTTTGTAAACCACGCTTTCCGTGAAACTAATTTTGAATATTTCTTAAGTAAATGCTTTACTGCTAAACACCGGACTTAAATAGAGCTGAAATAAATGTTTATTACTGGTTCAAGGTAGAACTGAAAACAAACCAAACATGTATATTACAAATCAACAGATTTTTTTATTAAATGTTATCATAAAATGCGCGATAAAAATATTGTTTTTATGAGCAAATATCGAAATTTTCAGAAAAAAACAGTCGTTTATAAACGGATTCATTATATTCAATTCAAGTGTTCAATATCAAAATGCAAATATTCAGTGTTTTTCATAACATTTTTTTTAAATATCACAACTATTGAAAATTCACTCGTTTTCGTGCTTTTATTATGGCATTAACCATGATTCGATTCTTTTCAACACAAATCCTATCGCCTACATAGAAATCTAGTGGATTTGAGAGGTGTTTGTACTGTTGATTGATTTAATATCAAATATACATTAATTAATTACAATAAAGATTATTAAGAAATGCGAGATTTCACAATTTATAAGATGACACTCAATATCTCTGATTCAATTAGTCTCTCCATCAATATTATAACAATTTCACATAAAATATTATACCGATTCTATGAATAATTTCAAAACTAAATTCGATAGCTCGATGGCGTATAGAATATGTCATAGACTTGCATGCATTATTTTAAGTTAATGGCAAAAAAGAAACAGTTGGTGGTTGGTGATAATTTTAATATTTTTCAAAACAAAATATCTTTAGTTTGAAATCTTAGGTTTTCGATGAATTACTAAAAGAACGATTGAACTGATTTAACTTTCATTAAATAACCTCTGCTCGCACCAATAATGACATTTACTAAACGAACAGAACTGTACAATCGAAATATCAATCCGATCGTTCTTTGGTAAAATATGTCAGGGACCGGGTCGCTCATAATTTTATACTAGCATAAAAAACGAAGGCAGTATAATTATACAAAGTATAAACGCAGACGCAACATATTCATCGCTGTTCGCTATGTATGAAGCATGCGAATACATGTTCGTATGTGCATGTGACCATTGAAAGACGCACGCACATACATTGTATTTATTGAGCGCAGCACAAAGCGAACAGCGACGGATATGTTGCATCTGCGTTTATACAAAGTAGAAATATCTTGTATAATTCTATATGCGACCCGGTCCCTGAAAATAAAAATATATATAATCTTTGTGGGATAATACAACTATACAACTAAGAGATACTAAAGTAATAAAAAAATGTTCAATTGAAACTAGCAGTCCATTACGGTTTTCCAAAGGACTAAATTCAACTCTCATCTCATCCATCAAACTATTTTTCGTTGTAAGAATTGCCTAACAATTTCTCATACGTTTGACAGCCAAATAAACACCACCAATGATCAATAGCAGCAATGGAATGCCCAATCCAATGCAAGCAAGAATGGCAATGAACATCGAAACATGTTCCGGTGGTGATGTTCCATATCCCAAAATGAATGTCCTATTAATGGAAATCAGCATTATAATCTGTGTTCGGCTTTAATTTAAGACAATCGATCCACTGTGCTTACCATGTCGTATAATTCGAATAGAACTTATCTTCTCGTTGTCCAAATGACACATTAAATGATTGCACCAAGTACTGATCCAATGTATTTCCATAGTATGAATAGGCAATTGACAAGTTTAAGTAAGTTTCTGCATCATCCAAGAAATCTGGTTGGTTTAAATGAACATCTGTCCTCTTAGTAATGTCACGACTTTGTTCTGTGTAGCTTATTGGACGGTATTGTAAGTAACTCGCTAATGTAGTGACGAAAATTAAAAAAAAAAAATATAACAAACATTTTTGTTAAAAATCAAATATGACATAAAAAATTGTGTGTGAGAAAAAAAATGTACCGTGTGTGTTATTTTTCACTTGTGGTGTATTAATATCGATGAGTGTAAAAACGCCCGGGGTGTTTTCATCGTCAACGGTTTTACGTTTGTTTATGGTGAATGGAGTTTTTGTCGTTTCGCTGTCGGCAACGAGTACAAATTCGGCTGCAATGCGTATTGATTCAAATTTGGTATCACTTGGTATCAAATCAATGAATTCCATATCGACCTGCGTTACATTCGCTGAGTGTAGCAAATGTGGCGTTTCTTTGTCATGATCTTCTTCATTGTAGCACTTCAACTGTGCGCAAAAATGTAAAATCGTTACTCAGTTATGCATGACAATTGTCATTTAAAATTGGTAATTTTAACACTTTCAAAGTTCGCATCTTACCTTCAAATTAATAACGCCATTGCAACCAATAGAAGCGTCATCTTTACCACTAACAGCCACTTTCACTTCGTTTGTCGATTTATTGAATTCTTCTCGGGTCCATGTGAGTTCTCTTGCATCAATTGTCTCAATGTTTGATTTGTTTACGCCAATTATTGATGCTTGATCTGTGACATCATTGAAAATGAAAACCTTTTAACGAAATAACAATTGATTAAAGTTCAACCACAAGTTCGATTGCATTGTATGTCAGTGAGACTGATAATGGAAGACATACGTGCTGCGCGATCACGCATCACAAAGCAAAATAAAAAAAGAATAAAGAAGAGAGAATCGTTACTAACCTTTGTCAATACAAATGACATTGTGTACTTTGGTTTGATTGTGAATTGAACTGTTTTGACATCCATGAATGTTTCGTTCCAATTTATGGTTACATTTGTATCACGTTCACATAATGCCACCAACACGCTCGGCTGTCGACTTAAATCCCAAATATAATGTAATGTGTCATTTTCACCATCGGCTCTTACATGAATTAACGTTGTTGCGTTGTTTTCATTCTTTGTCTCACAAATACTTTCCGGACAATTTGGATTCAATTCGGCACTTAGCTGGTGGATACATAGTGAAAACATTTTATTAAATCAACATGACATTTATGGCGGCGAAAACAATGACAGCGAAAATGAATATGTCAACAAAATTTGTGTTATTTATATGAAAAGAAAATATTATTTTGACTCAATCAAGAACATGATTTTATCGATCCGATGAAAAATGGATTAAATAAATACACGGGAGAAACCGATTGACCGTATACATCATCAGACATGGTGAAAAACGAACACGCAATACAGCTGCTTCGGTTTCAATAAATTATTTGTTGCTACTAAGCGGTAGAAGCGGTAGGTTGATTGCAGTAATTTGGTGAAATGTTTGGATTTTCAAAATCGGATGATTTAATATCAGTCAAATGCTGGCGTACAAACTAAACAACAACTAACCGACCGAATGGATATGGCTTGGATATGGTTTTTATCGTACTTCAAATAGAATATTCATTGGAAAAAAAAGGAAAATCAATAGCATTTTCTAGAAATCCATTAATCATACCATGAATTTCTATTGAATCTCAGAAATAGCACCATTAACTATCAATCAATAACATTTATTATATTTATATCGGCGCGCCAGCATATTTCCACTCAGACTTATTTGCATTTCGTATATTTTTTCACCATTCATGAAGTGGATCCTTCGTTAAAGATAAAATTAGTTAGCAATTAATCGATCAATATCCATATTGGTATTTATTCTGAATCGATTGTGCGGGGTTAGGTTAGTAATAGCATAAAAAAGGTGATGTGTTATTCTCGTACCGAAAATTGTGTGAATTTTGAAATGTGTTTTGGAATTTTTCATTTTCAATTCGCATGAAATGAGAAAAATATGCTCAATCCTTGAACATGAACTCGTTGTTCATAAGGTTGTAATGAGTGGTCCTTAATTACGAGTTTCAAAACGTATATATGTAATCGTTGTGCTTATGCTTTGGAAGAAATTCCTTTGATGGATGAAATCGTGCTGTGTCGATTAACAAGGTTTCATGCCATGCCAGCGACTACAAATTCTCTTATAAATAATTAATGAGCCACTTTTCCAAAGCAATGGAATTCATGTGAAAAATCGGTTACTCTGGTTACATGATGACGATAAACAAAGCACCAAACTATAAGTTAAATTGTTGAAATTTTCAATTACGAATAAATATATTGGAAAATTCGTCGTTTTTACCATCAAAATATGTCAGGTATTCGAAATTACGATGATTTAATTATAGTTTTCGTGTGGCCAATTTGACAAGATAGCACAAATAACAGAGTTTACAATTCAAATTAAATTAAGTAACAAACTCATTAAAATTTCAAACGTTTGATGTTTGCAAATTACTTCATGGGCGGATGCACAATCTCAATCAATTTTTTTTGTATACAACAACAACAATCAAACAAACATGAATGAAATTCACTTTTAAATTTTACTTACTGTTCTTTTAGCACCGTCAGCATGCACACAGCCAAACACCAAGAAACTCATAAAAAATCCAATCAATTTATAATTTATAAAAAATTTCATTTTTTTTTATTATCTTTTTTCGCCTGCAAAACGAGTTTAGTTTTATGTTTGTTTAGATTTCACAAGAAGTGATTAACATATAGAAAATAATTTATAATTCAAAGAAAATGTATGTAAAAAAGGCACAGTAGGTTATTCCGATTAAAGGATGACTAAGGGTCAAGACACAATATCGAATGTGCAATCGGAATGTTGTTTATGGGACGGCGATTAGTTTGTGAACTATTGAAACAACAGTTTTCTACTCATTCCATGAATTTGACTACTGACTACTATTTCACACAGACCGATAGCACGCTATATACAAACAAGCCATTTGTTTGTGTGTTCAATTTGACATTTTCGAAATGTCATCGCAAATGAAGCGTCATCGGCTTCGGCTCCAGCCGGTTTAATGAGAAAATAAAACAACAGTTGTAGGGTTTATGTAGAAAAACACTCGTCACAATTTATTTGACATATGATTTTGATCGTCTTTTTCTTATCTCGTCGTTGTTTCATCTTTTTTTTATTTTTAGTTAAGTTATCTCAGAAAATACTGGGATAAATTTTATTTTATATTTCGATTGTGCATTATTTTCCAGTTTGAAGGAATTCGCTGACTTTTTCCCGCATTTCATCTGGTTTGAAAACCCCCTTTTCCGTTATAATTCCTGTCAACAAAATAACAATAATCTGTGAAATAATCTCATTACAGATAAGAATAATTACGAGATTTGAATACCTGTAATTAGATGTGCGGGTGTGACATCAAATGCTGGATTCCAGCACTTAATGCCTTGAGCAGCGATTCTATGATCGCCGACGTGGGTCATCTCACGTTGGGGACGTTCTTCAATTTGTATTTGTTCACCGCTTGATATTTTCAAATCGATTGAAGTCAACGGTGCGGCTATATAAAATGGAACATTGTGATATTTGGCGACGACGGCAATTTGATATGTTCCAATTTTATTGGCTGTATCACCATTGGCCACAACACGGTCTGCACCGACAACCACAGCAGCGATATTCTATCAATGTATTTGAGGAGGAATGTTAACATTTAATTCTTTTCCATTCGAAAATGATCTTTTTCAAATAACCTTTTTTTGCATTAAAGCAGAAACCATGCTATCAATGATCAGTGTGGCCGGCAGTTTGTCGTGTACCAATTCAAATGCAGTTAATCGTGCACCTTGATTATATGGTCGCGTTTCGGTACAATAGATATGCTCCAAACGATTCATCTCGAATAATTTTCGAACAACTCCCAAAGCCGTTCCATAGCCAGCCGTCGCCAATGAACCAGTGTTACCTATCAGAACGGCAATCAGAAACGAAGCGATAAACGCGTGTAGCAAAAGATACAAAAAAAGAGAATATATTGCACATTGCAGTTGATATAAAAGATTTTTAAAAAAATTGTCGAATGAATTTACAATGTGTTAACACCCGAACCGATGAACCGTCTGTTTTATTTTGTAAAATTGCATTGGCTCCATTTGTGCCGATCGCTTTATTATCTTCGATATCTTTTCGTAGCATTGCTTCGGTGGTATCAAGGAATTTTTGTTTCATTTCGTTCACACTTATGTCGTCATTAATTGCCAACTCATTAGATAATTTTATGAGCTCATCAGCGGCAATTTTCATCTGCGATGATTATTTGAATAGAAAAAATGCCGAAATCATTAGTAAAAAAATAAAATGCAATAATTGAGAAAAGAAAAAGCTTTCAAAAAAACACATTTATAAAATGATATATTTTACGTACATTGACAGCCGTTGGTCGTGCTGACACCAAATAATTGAGTTTTCCTTCGATTTCTTGTCGCAATGATTTCTTATCATTAAATTGTTCGTTGTAAATTTCAACGGCCAATGATAAGCATCCAACAATGGCGATGGCCGGTGCGCCTCGCACTTGCATGCGATTGATCACTTTCCATCCATCTTCGACACCTTTCACCGATACGTATTTATTTTGTGCGGGCAATAATAATTGATCGAGAATTTCCAATTTTCCATCGCTATAACGTATCGATTCGAGAGCCATGGTTCTCTCTCTGTTTTACTATGCAAAGACGAAGACGAAGACGATGATGATATGTGCTGTGCGTTCAACTGTGTGGCAACTAATTAAGTAAATGATGTAGCTGCTCAACGATGCATTTAAAATCGATTCAACGGCGATAACGAAAATCACACAAAAGCAACTAAACGAAAACACAAAAAATTACGAGAATTAATTTGTAATAAAATATATAGTTGACACTGAGAGATTTTTTTCTCACTTCGCCACAGACAAAGTGAAATGTGATCATTGCTTATTTACGATGCGAGCACATAAATTTAAATGCAAGTGCGATTTCACATATAAACCGATTCAATATAAATAACTGAGATAGAGAGAATGAAAACAAAAAACGAAAGAAAAAAAAATTAAAACGTTTTTTGCTATTTACATTTGAAAATTGTACACGAGATCGAATTAAGATCGTAGTCTAATGCCAACACCAAACGACCGAAACGGAGAGTGTATTATAACGTTGTATCGAAAAGAGCGCACACAAAAATGCCGTCACACAAATTTTGCTGGCCACCAAAACTGTTTCCAATTTAATTAATTCTTTTGCACATATTGACAAATGAACACTTTTGATATGCTTGTTTCTATCTCGCTTCCACATGCGCACAATCGTCCGTTTGTATTTCGCGCATCTCAAGTCGACCAAGGAGTTTATGGCCCAAATATCGAGCATCGACAATTATTACACATTATGTTCGTACATAAGAGAAGCTACAATGTAATTAAATAACAAATTCAATACATTGTATGGACTATCTGCATTTAAACCATACTCTCGTATACATTGTGTAAACTTTTTTCAATCGCTCATTTTTCTTTCCTTTTCGTTCTCTCTTGATATCGTTCCAATGAAAAGAAACGATAAGAAATCTAAAAATGTAAGTGGGCTCTTCAAATTCTTTACTTTGCTAACCAGTGACTATACTTCATCATATATATATATATATATATATATATATATATATATATATATATATA